ATATTATATATTATATATTATATATAATATATAATATATTATATATTATATATAATACATAATATATAATATATAATATGTAATATATAATATAATATAAAATAAAACAATACAATATAATATAATATAATAGAATAGAATAGAATAGAATAGAATATAATATAAGATAATATTATATATATATATGTATATACATAATGTATATAATATATAATTTATATATATATATATTGCATGAAGATGTCCGGCACCCACTTCAAGTTCAAGTCGCTGACTCCGGCCCCTGGCCTGCCAAAAGAGCGAGGCCCCAGAGCTCCGTGCAGGATGTGCAGCCTCGGCGACTCACGGCTACCACTCCGGGAGATACACGGCAAAGCTTAAAAGGCCCCTATATTATATACCCTCATAGAGCCCTTATAATAACCCCTATAGTAACTACTTGCAAAACATTGAGGAAAGTGAAGTTTTCGCACTGAATCTGTTGAGTGTTTCGTGTCGGTCCGTGCCAGAGGCGGGCAGTGATATGCACTGAAGACACCTCCTGGGGGCCCTGCCATCGAATGCGGCACCATCTCCGATCAGTGTCCCTCCGCCGTCTCCCACAGAAGCAGGCTCAGAACAGAGCACCTCTTCAAGGGACGAACGATTTCCAGGGCAGAGTGAACTAATGGTGCTGGGGTTTAGGGTTTAGGGTTTTGGGTTTTGGGTAGAGTCCGACAGCCAGTGCGTCTGGAGCTGCGTTTGGATGTGTTTGGCTGCGGAGTTGTAGGGGCGATCTCCTGATCTCCCGCCTCCGCGGACCAGGCGAAGCCTGCACACTGGGCTCGGAGATCCGGTGGAGCCAGGGTCCTGAGCAAAGAAGGACGAAGTGCACCGCTTCCCATGATGCTTCCGAACACTTAGCTACATGGGTGGTTGTCAAAATTATGGTCCCTTTTGGGGCACCCTAAATAATAGGTGCCGTATTATAATAAGGACCCAAAAAGGGACCATAATTTTGACAACTACCCACATGGTGGAATTCGGGCTTGAAGAGGTTGGTGCGACATCGCAGAAACCGTGCAGAGCTGCAGCTCCACGATCTCAGAGCGCCGCATGTCTGGAACTCCCGGCTCCGCCTGCGCCAAGCTTTGCATAGTCAGGATAAGAGTTCAGCGTTTAGGGCTTGGTTCCTTTGAGGATTCCTTTATGGGTTCCTAGGGCTGCTTGAAGGGATCCTTGTGCCAAAAAAGGCTTCTTTCTTCTCGGTTGCTTGTTCGCCTGGCACCACGAAGCAATTTGAGCTCGGCAAGTATCTAGAGCGTCTCCTGGAAGGGAACTTGAAGGCTGACTCACAAGCACGGAGAGAACTCCCCTGAGCCGCTGCAAAATCTCGGAACTCTCCATGTGTCGAAGTCCTACAAGGGGCGGAACTGCTGCACAGGGATTGGTCGTAGTGCCCGTCGCCGAACTGCTGGTTGTTGTCATTGTGTGTGTGGTCGCTGTTAGACTTGTCGCTGTAGTCGTCGGGCGAGCCTGGGGCATGCCGGCCACTGCCAGAAGAGATGAAGCATGATCAAACCGAATACCGACCGACAAGAAGAAATGTGTAGCCGCGGAGCGGTGGTGGTTAGTGGCCGCGCTGTGGTCCCGGGCGGAGTTGCTTCACCTGGTGTTGGTGGCAACTCCTGCAAGGCCCAGCCGCGGCATTGGCTCATTAGCACTCTTTCTCATATTCCGCTCCAGAAAACTGCCACCGATAGTCCAGAAACATGTGGCATTTGCGATACAGCATTCACACTGTGCCCAAGTTTGAGTTGGCCCTGGCTGGATCGGAAGAGTCAGGAATTGCGACATGCATGCAGGGCTCTGCTCAAAACTTTCTTGTTTGGCATGGCGCCCTTCACATGGGGGCCAACGTCCGCATGATGGACACCCGGCTGGGGGATCCTTGACGATGAAGTCATCCGGTAGAAGCCCATCTTCCTGCGAGACCAAAGCTGCAGACAGGGGGCCCCCACCTCTCCGTGTCAGTGCTCTTTGATCGGCCTTCGCCTGCTGCACCTGCGTCCGGACCACCCAGGCGGCCTCGGCTAGGCAGCTTCTGCACGTCTTCAAAAACCTGCTGAGCTGCTGGTCTTTCATCCAAGGCCAAGGCCTGATCGATGGGCCAGAGCCAGACGCAGCTCGTCCAAATCGTGTGCTGAGGATACCACTCCTTGATCAGCCAGTCCTTGCAAGGCTATGTCTTGAGATATCTTGAGATCAATCTTTCCATGCAGTGGGATGCCGGCATGCTGCCCCGGGTCCTGTGTGTCCAGGAAGCAGGTGTCGCAAACTGTCGTGGTGCACTTCTCGCAGTGGCTGAAAGCATTCTCGAGGTAGAGGCAGCCGACCTTGCTCACACGCCGATTAACTGACCCCACAGTCCTCTGGTGAGTGCAGCCTCAGTAGACTATCAGACTGTCAGACGCGTGCAACGGCGAAAGGACCCCTTAGAGACAAGAAGCATTGACGCACACTTCCGGCATGGGATAGATACCTCATGCACGGACTGTGCTATCTGGGCAACACTTGAAAGCAGTGTGTAGGGACATCTCCACATCCGAGACCCAAATAGAGAGATCCTGGCCAAAAGACTCTGAAGTATGAGCAAGGTGGGTTCATGCAAGGTGCTGAGGTTTGCAAACACAAACGATAGCAGATAGCATATTGCAAAACCAACCTGGTTCCTAGTCCTACATGCAGGGGAGCAGCTGCTCATCGGCAAGCTCCGGCTTTAGATGTCGAGATGCTCAGTGCACCAGGCCGGGCTGGGTCTGCTCCACGCCGCTCGATCCCGCCGGCGAAGGCAACCGTCGTGACCTCTAAGTTCGAAGTCCCTTTAAAGGGGTTCCTTAAAGGGATCTATAAGGGTTTCCATAGGGCTTAACCTCCAAATTAGAGTCCCTGTGCTGTGCAGCTGAGGAAAGTCAGCAAGTCGTCAGAGTGAACGAGAACTCCGAAATGCATTCCCCGTCGAGCGGCCACACCGGTGCCAAGATCCAAGTGGTCCTTAGATACCATACAGCTCACGGTTTAGGCTGAGCTTCTTTCAAGACTTGTGACTCAGCATCAAGGCATCAGGCCGAGTTACAAGACGAGCTTGCATTGCCGGCCCGAGGATGGAAAAGTATACCTGCTGGAACAGCTCCGTGAGATTTCCTGGGATGCCAAGCGATTGGGCTTTACAGATTTTTCTCAACCACGTGAAGCCTGAACATCCACATTCTCTGACATGGCAACTCAACCCTGAAGCCCGCACGTGAACCAAAAGCCTCAAGAGCGCTGATTCCAAGATTCCCAGGTATGGCAGCCCTGGCCCAGGGCTAGGGGGCACCGCAATGGCAGAAGGCACGTCGCCCTCGGAGAAATCATGGAGAAAACGCACCTGAGCGCAACACCGCAGAACCAGACCGATGATCATCAATCAGCATGATACTAACAATGTCCCCCACCATATCAGACCTTGATCATATCATTGTCATCACCATCATCACCAGCAACAGCCACACCGTCATCACCATCGTCATCATTATAGTCATGGTCGCAATCGTCATCGTTATCGTCCATGGCACGACACCTCATGTCATACCGCCATAACTTGGAACATTGTCGTGATGCTTGTCGCAGCGATCATCACCATCATCATCATCACCATCACCATCACCATCACCATCACCATCACCATCGTCGTCATCATCATCATGATCGTCGTCACCGTCATCACCGTTTGGTGAACACAAGCAGAGTTCAGAAGGCTGCGGCGGCGGCAGCAGCAGCAGCACAGAAGAACAAAAAAAAATGGTGGCGGTGCTGCTGGTGCCTCTCGGCAGACGAACTGTCACTCAGCCAAGCCACATTTCCAGTGGCCGCGTTTGCATTGGGCCCATCGATCAAAGATTCAAGCTGCAGCACATACTCAAGTTGCGGTGGGCTGTTGCCCACCTGTCGAATCCAAAGCAGGCCTCCATCGTGAGTTGCTTCTGCCACCAAGAGCTCGCCCCATGCATCCGCACCAACACCAAGCTGGGCCACAGCCGAACCGGCCGACTGGCCACCGACTGCCGCGGCCTCCAAAGCATCCACGGCACTCCAAGTTCTCAGCACCAGGGTGTCGCTCCAGAGTACCATACCGTCCCTGGCCAACAACACTGGCACTTGAGGCCTGGCACTTGTGGCCTGGCTACCCTCCAGCACCTCCATCCATGGGCCTAAGTGGGAAGAGTCTCGGGGTGGCACGGAGCTCAGGTTCGAAACCCAGAGCTTGTTTGTCAAGGAGGATGCGAAGAAGACCATGGCCATACCAGCATCCTGAGTCCAAGCCAGGGCTCCCTCCTCGCCGAGGTTCGGGCCGGTCCCCGTTGCATTCCACACGGGCCCAGCAGCGTCCCCCGGCAAAAACCCGAGTTCTGATCGGCCCGTCTTGTCCATCCAGGCCCGGACCAGTTTGCCACCCTCCAGAAAAACGAACTCGAACGTGTCCGCGAAGAACAGCATGTCACTAATCCCGCCATTCGCAGGCGGGGGGGCCGGCTCATTCCCAGCAATGCTCACATCGGGCAGAGTAACAGTTGCGCAAGTGCTGGAAGTGAAAAAGAAGTCTGCCCCATCCCGATCTGTCCAGAGAACCCAAAGGTCGAGGGGCCCGGAAGCCCTCGCTAAGCTGGCCAGAAGCCAGAAACAGAGCGCTCTTCTCACCGCAGCAACGCTGCTCATCGAGCGGTGCATTAACAGTAAACCTCTGCGCAGATTGCCAAGGAGGTTGGGCTGGATCTCGCCAACCGAAGCGCCTCCTCTACAAGCCGCTCCATGATGGAATCCTGAATTTGCTAACACTGGAAGACCAAGCGGTGGGTGCGATCTGGAACTGGCTTTGGTTGGGGGACATGCCGGGGGTAGTCCTCTGCCTTGCAGCTCGTGAGTCGAATAAGGCTTAAATGTTTGACTCTGGGTGTCTATGGATTCCCACCCTGACCTTTCGGGGCAGGACTAATTCTTCGTGGACCCATGTCACATATTCTGGGTGAGACGTTGCACCCTTGAGACGTCGTGAAGACAGCCGCGAACCGACGAACTGCTCTTGCTTCGTCCAGTTGCGTTTAATGCTCCTGAGACTGTGGACTGAAGGAAAGGCAAATCCCGACGCAGGCGCGCTCTTCGCACGATTTTGGTTCTCGCAACTGCTCTGCAAATGCACACAAGTACGAACACAAACCCTTAACCGATGCTTGAATGTGCAATGATCTTATTCGAGCTCCTTGCAAAGACCGAGACTTGCGAAACTGCCTCAATGCCTATCTTGAGTGTATAGCATTGAATACTGACCAACTGGTGAAACGCGTGACACAAACCACGGCATCACCTTGGTCAAACAGTCAAGCCATGCATGTCGACGGATTGAGAGGAGCACGATAGATGACAGCAGAAGCTTCCAGGCTCTGCTGGCATGCGCGGCATGAGAACAACACATGGGAGTTTCCGAAAATTAGGGTACCTTATTTGGGGGTCCTTATAATAGGGATCCTATTATTTAGGGTACTATATTAGGGTCCCCTATTTTCGGAAACCCCCACATAGAGTTGTCAGAAGCTTGGGAAACCCTGACAACTTGGGGCACCTGCTACCGCGATCCAGGCTTTGCCTGCGAGACGTCGGTCCTGCCCTCAGGAGCAAGGCAGCTGGATGCAAGGCTGGTATTTTCCGCAGCCATGATATCAGCCTTCCTGACTGGTGCACTCATATCCAAAGTATAAGGCCCGTGCTGTAAACGTGCAGCCGGATGGGGGGCCATCATTCGACGGATCCGGCTCTACCTGCCCGGAAACCAGTGCCTTACACAACTCCAGCACTCACGGAAGATTTTGGCGATAAACGCCATGGGCGGCCTCCTGGGGCCCTGCGAAGGGCCGGGAGAAGATCACGCGCTGCGCGCCTGCAGATGCCCGCCGCTGTGTTCAAGGCTTCGGCTATCGGTGCTCCAAGTCGGCAAGTGTTTACTAATGTACTTGGAGGCTCATGGGTAGTTATAAGTGAGGTTATAAGTAGGGTAACTACAGTTATAACCCATATTAGGGGACTTATAACCCCACCTATAACTACCCATGAACCTCCAAGTAGGCATGAGTCGGCATCAGGAAAGCAAAAGCCAGTTGCATGGGAGAGATGGCAGGGCAGCTGGATCAACACTTGTCGAGAGGTGAGCTTCACGAGAGCGAGTCGTCTCCACTTTGTCGCAACAAGAGTGCAACCTTGATCAGAAGCGATCATCAATCAGCAAAACTCTTATGCTTTTGAGCGTGTAGGGGACAGCGCAACCCTCCGATATGAAATGTATGAAATAGTCTAGCGAGCCGATTCACATTACAGAACCTTGTTGGCAGCCAGCACAGTCGACAATAAGCTCGGCAACAGCTGAAAGTAAAGCTCACTCGTTGCACTTGACTATACAATTCTTCCGGTGCCAGCGGCACTGATGTCCCGCACGCTCTTTTTCGCAGCTCGCAAAAACGATGAAAGGCACCGGCTATCCGAATAGCCGCCACTTGCCTTCGCGGAAGATTCCATGCCCCTGTAGCACCTCGGCTCAAACCAGCGCAGGTTTTAATCCCGACCCGTCCATGCAAGTAGCCGAGCAGCCCCAAGTCTCTCAGACGCGCCAAAACAAAGCAGGAAAAACCTGGGAACTGAACCTTCTGAAGTCCCCAAAGCCGTACAGAGGATGACGAGAGACGATTCGCCGGTCCGAGGAGGTGGGGTCCTTGTAGGGCCCCACTGCATGCAACTGGTCGCCAGAGAAGAGGAGCATGCGCCCAGGGATGTACTCCACCTCATGGTGGTCCACACAGTCTTCTCAGTTCTTCTCAATTTGCGCTGGAGTCTCCTATTCGCTATGACCGCCACCTGAACCCCATCTTACTCGTAGGCCACAGATTTTAAAGGACTGGGGCATGTTCTCTCAACTCGAACGAGTTGCATCTTGGAAGGGCATCTCCTTCATGCACCACTGGCTGCTTTGCTTCGGCAGCACGTTCCCTTTTGGATCCACACTCTTTTGGATCGACTTATTGTAGTAGCAGTCATAGACCCGCAGGCTTGCACCACCAGCAGGAACTTGCAAAGGTAAGGTGAAGGTTAGCGTCTGGGCAGAAGCATGCTCCGCCGGCTCCAGATGCATTCCTTGGTTCCCCAGTCAAGCCCGTAATAGTAAGGTAAGGGTACCCTCTTTCCAAATAGTCGGTTTTAATACGGAGGCCCTAAAAATGAAGAAAACAACAAAAAAAAGTACGACCACGGGGACTCTAGAGTCGGAATTGCTCATCCTTATGAGGCGGCGCAGGGCTCAGGACCATGTTCTTGATAGCATCCGGCAGGCCGTCGAGTGTGTCGCCCCGGTGCATTTTCACGTAGGGATAGGTGATCCACTCACTGTCGATTTCATCTGGTGCAACAGCCTTCTGCAAGGTTTCCTTCACGCGCTCGAAAAGCCAGCCCAGGCTTCCTTTCAGTTCAGATTTGAGCTGGGCATGGTGATGCAAACCTGCGGAATCTCGTCCGGCAAATTTGGGGCAGTGGCCACTGTAGATAGTGCTGGGCCCGTAGATGTATGAGCCCACTGTGGACAGCGACTTCTTAATCTCTGGAGGATATGACTTCACAGTGTCACTTTCTCCCAGGACAGGTACGAAGTACCAGCTGTCCGCATCTTCCCGAAGCACCGCCAGAACGCTCGAAATTTCCGAAGAGTTCATAGGTACCCAAATCCTGAGAAAAAGAAGTTGCCACTTCAGTTGTTCCGTGCTTATCACACCCTTGACGCGGAGATAACGATCAGATGGCGATGATGACGACGACGAAGATGATGGTGGCGATTATGATGATGATGATGATGATGAGGATGAGGATGAGGATGATGATGAGGATGAGGATGATGATGATGATGATGGTGATTATGATGGTGATGCTGATGATGATGATGATGGTGATGATGATGGTGATGATGATGATGTTGATGATGGCGACGGTGATGATGATGATGATGATGATGATGATGATGTCGATGATGGCAAAGCTGATAGCGAATTTGCAGCAGCGATGGTCGTCTTAGGTTTAACCAGCGCACCGAAAGCACAGCTTCTTCTATCCAATTGGCAAGGCTCAATGCCGGTGGTACATGTCCAGGCCGATAGTTTTGAGCAAAGCAGCCGATCACTAGGAGAGGGGCCCAGCGGAAGGGACCCATCACGCCACTGGGAGCCCAACACGAAGGTAGCATGACAAATGACCAAGCCGGCCTGCACTTCAAAGCATACTGTACAGTAGTTCGAACTCTGATTCTTGATGACTTCAAACCCGCTTAATTCCATCCGATGGCTTCTGTTCCGTACGATCTCGGGGATTCAAGATACCCAGTACCTGCAGACATGTTGTTCGAGCCACGAGCTGCAAGCTCAAAGGGTTACTACAAGTCCCGCTTAGCCATGGATGAGAGGCTCTAAACTCTAAACGGTAGCACCACACAACCCAAAACGTCCTTAGCAGCTTCTTCCATGAGAGTCGCTCCGGGCCTATTTGAAGCGTGGCCCGGTCCGGGGCGACCTCTTTGCAGACACTGCTGGCATGATCACATGCGAGCTGTAAGGCTTCCTCTAGACCAGGGTTGTTTAGGGTTTAGGGTTCAGGGTTTAGCAACCGTGTCCATCCACTGAAGAATTACGTGGGCATCCTGAGTGTGCTGATTAGCAATGAACCCGGATCCAGGATCACAGCTAACAAGACGGGAAGTGACTCCGAGGACTTGACTCGACTCCACAAGATGCAAGGGCACAGCTGTAGGCTTCTTGCGTTCGCAACAGCTGTGCTAGAGCAGCTTCAAGCGTAGCTGGGCCGCAGGCAATTGTAACATCTGTCCGGGTGCGGACGAGACTGGCCACCCGGAGTCCTCATTTTGTGCAGAATACGGTGTCCAGGACGTCTGAGTAACCGCAAACGACCCCGGAGCTTCAAGACAAGCGCGGACAGGCTGAGGCAGGAGCGATGGAAAGTGCCGTGATGCACGAAGCTGCAGTCTCGAATGCGACGTAAGTCTGCCTCAAGGGTTTAGGGTGCAGGGTACAAAAAAAGGGTACCATGACGCTCTGTACCGACTGTGTGTTGAGGCCAGCAATATCTAATGGCCGCCTGCCTCCGGCAGCGTCTGCAACTCTTGGAGGGTGCTTTGGGTTGTTGCCCCTGCCGCTGCGGCAGTGCCTGGAGACATCAAGAACCCGCGTTCCTCTCACGTCAAGCGGATCAGTCCACACAAAGCGGTCTTTATGCCTCCACCGGCCGCTCTGACGAGGCCGGAGGTCTAGGCAGGTCGAGATAGGAGCATTCGAGAGGCCATCATGTCTGTCTTCACCAAACGTGGGAGCGCCCGCCTCCACACGTAGCTCTGCAGCGACCTCTGCACCGATGGAAAGCGGCACCAGGAGCAAACCGCCCAGCAGCGCCAGCCTGGTGACACAAACAGCCAGACATAACCTCATCAAACCTCCATACGGTCCCTTATTTTGGGGTCCTTATAATAGGGATCCTACTATTTAGGGTACTATATTAGGGTACCTTATTTTGGGCTCCTTATAATTATAATAGGGATCCTATTATTTAGGGTGCTATATTAGGGTCCCCTATTCGGAAACCCCCAGATGTCTCTTTAGTTAAACGGGATAGCATGGGGGTTTGGAGAGCCCCCTTTTACTTCGCTGATTCACGGGCCGGGCCATCGCTCAGCCAAGTCGCCATGGGAGGACCGCCCAAGAAGGAAGGGCAGGCCTCTCTCTCCAACAGCCAGAGCACAGGTAACATAATATTTCGATGGTATTCTCATGTGGGTGTTTGTCAAAATTATGGTCCCTCTTTGGGTCCTTATTATAGCACGGCACCTACTATTTAGGGTACCCCAAAAGGGACCATAATTTTGACAACTACCCATATGAAGACACTCGCCTCTTCTTCTCTGGCTCCTCGACCTCCTCTGGGTCATCGGTCTCTGGCGGCTTAGGAACCTGCCGAGTTTGCAAAGACCTCCCGAAGACCCAAAAGGTTTAGGGTTTAGGGTTTAGGGTTTAGGGTTTACCCATGGCGTGGCCAGCATATCCGCCTCGAAGGCATCGGACTCAGTTGGCTCCATGAAACCTACCTAAATTAGGGTATCCTATTTGGGGGTCCTTATAATAAGGATCCTACTATTTAGGGTACTATATTAGGGTCTCTAAATCAAGCGCTTTGCTTTGGAGGAGTAGCTGGGGCTTTGACACAGGATGCGATGTTATGAGCACAACCAGCGCTGATATTCACTGCCGTCTAGATGGAGCAGTCTCCCGTTGCGCATGCGCTGCACAGTGTCGTGTGTGCCGCACACCATGAGTTGTCAACACAAACATCTGCACACAAGCCTTCAGCCAAGCACGTAAACAGTCCAAGAGTGCACGGAAGAAAATTCTAGCATAATGCTCTGACTCTGTCAATCGCATCATGTCCTGCTGACAGAGAGTACCGAGAGCATCAGCACTCAAGATGCATCACGTGCACAGATTTTCCCCTTCGGGCAGAAGCAACCTCGTCATTGTACATTGCCACTATTTTTGTGGCGCGAAGCATGCAGTCCAGGCCGTGAAATACACTAAACTCGACCCGGCGGTCTTCTACTAAGTTGAGCAATACCTCCTAGGACTATGCAGGTTTGTGCTTGTCAGCGCAACGATCCAACCTAATTAACCTAATTGCCTAGTTGTTGTGTGGCATTGGCACTCGTTGATGCAAGCGGCTCGCACTTAAAGAATGATCGCTTTCCGGGAGACGCGGAAAGCTCGTGACAGTGCTCAGAAGCATCAGTGGCGGTGGCGCCTTCGGCGACTTCGCGCCCCGGCGTGGACCTGCCGAGCAGTCAACTCATGTGCGAAGTGTGACATTGCGCGTCTCGAAATGCGCTGCTGGGGCCAGAAGCTTGCAGTGGTTCTTGCAGCGTTTCTTGCAGCACCAGCATGTCAGGGATTCTGCTGACGGGGCGGGGTGGCAGGGGCAGGTGGCCTCTTCAACCCGCATCATCGCGCTTCCTCGCGACATACAAAACACAAGCGACTTCAGAGAGTACTGAAGTCGACCTCTCTTAGAACAGGCACCAGAGATCCTCTTGAGTCTTGGGCTCACGCACGAAACCCTAAACCCTAAACCCAATGACCATAAGGCGACCACCTGACCTCACGTCTCAGGGTCCCGCCGTGAGCTTCACTTCTGGGCTGTGAGGGTCGGACTCCTGGAGCTCGTGGCATGGAGACTTTCAAAGCAAGGATCACCATCAGGGGTACTATAAAAGGTACGATAAGGAGTACTACAGGGATACTTTGATGGTACTATAAGGGTACTACAAGGATTACGTTAAAGGTACGGATTACTATAAGGACACTATCACTTTGAGGACTCTTCTGAAGTGGTCTTTCAACCTTGAGGCTTGGCTGGTGGCGCCTTGCTGTTCATGCCACCTCCGACATTGTAGTCCTCGGACGCAAAGTAGACAGGCAAAACGAATGAAATTCACAGCTGCTTGGACCCTAACCGTGCAAGTAGGCCTGAGCTGGTCCGCTAAGCTGGGCGCCGGAGAGAACTTCGTGTTGGAGGGACTCATGCAGGAGAACACGTTCTCAGTGTTGCAGCCTCGGTCATCGTCTTGAGCATGAGCTTGCAGGTGGCCACATGCTCGGTAAGCAATGAAACAAGGTCCCAACTGCCGAGCTCCCAAACACCGACTGATGAAAAGTTTCGCAGTTAATTTAATCTACCCTGCTTCAAGAGCAGCTCATGAAGCTGTTGGTTACGACAAGCCACGTAATTATCAAACGCAGGTCGGTGACACGGTGCTTGCGCCAGATAAGTCTGTGCAACCATCCAGTCTGCACACAGGCCATCGAAGCGCAACAGAACCAAACCCCAATCAAGTCCCGCACAGGTTTCAGCACCGGTTCGCACTGTGTACCTGCCAACCAGCACGGCCTCTGCAAACGCAAGTCTGACAAGCATCCATCCATCCATCCATCCATCCATGGCTTAGTGGATGAACCATTCCGTCAGTCTACCCATACATACATGCATGACATGCATTAGACTTACACATACATACATACATCCATGCGTCCAAACATGGATACATCGATGCACCCAGACATTCATCCTTACATCCATCCATACGTACATACATGCCATTTTGATTCATTTTGTCTTTAGCGGGCTCACATGTTCTGGGTCAGTGTCGCGCAGCTCTTGAAACACCTGAGCACGCACCGAAAGTATGTGCAAAAACTTCTGGTGCTCTGCTTTCCCTCAAACTTGCTCTGTAAGCCATGGACTTGCCCAAGTAGAGCTCTTCATTCTTCAGGCATGCACCTTTCTTGTGTGGGCCTTGGAATCGCGCAAGCTACGACAATTGAGAAGGATTCCGCATTTGAGAGTTTCCCAAAATTAGGGGTACCTTATTTGGGGGTCCTTATAATAGGGATCCTATTAATTAGGGTACTATATTAGGGTCCCCTATTTTCGGAAACCCCCATTTGCTCCCTGAGGTTCAGACAGCCACCCCCAGCCTCATCGCCAGCAACATCATAGCCCTGGCATGGCATAGGGAAGCCCTGTGTCCTGAGTGCGAGAGTTAGGTCCAGGGTTTAGGGTTTAGGGGTGTGGCGCATCACAAGCATCGGTGCCACCGAAGGCGGTCTGAGCTTGCAGCTGTCCCTTCATAACGCCCATGAAGCCTTCGCTCTTGGAACATTCGAAGGCACCTGGATGAGCTTACGAGTTGCAGATCCCGGGTTGTCAGTGGCTGTCCTGAAGATATGTTGCACTATGTTGCACTTTTCCCGTTCAAGAAGTATGCAGCGGAGGCGGATCAGGGGGAAAGCTTCAATCTCAGATCGGTGCTGACGCGCTTCGGCATCTCGCCATTTGTCAAGATGGCGCACCTCACCGCAGAAACTAGACTCGCCACCAGCACCGCCCTGTCCCAGCATGAACCGTCGTGACTGAAGTGGTCATTTGCCATGCCAGACAATAATGGAGCACGACACGACAACTGCCCGCTACTAGCAGATTGAAGTGTTCAAGGCAGTGAGCATCCTGATGCAAACTCCGACTTGGGGATCCAGCTTCTTATAGCACATCTCATTCAACTCCTCCTCGTCATCAGAGCATTCCTGGATATCGAAACAAGAAGGATACATCCTTGGAGCAAACCCCTGTCGCTGCGAAACTCATGCTGGGTGATGGACATTGCCATCTGCGAGGTTCTCTTTCGGAGCCAGTGGATTGTTAGTCGATTGTGCGCCTCAGCATCATCTCTAGCAGAGAGTTTTGCAGATCTAACCGAGGTCACTCGTCTTCGCTTTCGCTGCAAAGACTTTACGGATGTCCTGGGACGACAGTGACGATGAGGTGAAGCCGGAGTTCAGACGAGACATGTCTCACAGGAACTGAAGGAGGGGGCTCAAGGATTGCTGGGAAGCTTTGCAGCAGAAGATGGGCAGTTCTGTTCGGTACAATTGCAGGTTGCAGCCATGGGGCTGCTGCAGTGACGACGACAAACAAGACGAAAAGACCTCCTATTCCTGTACCCTTGAGTGCGGTGTTGAGGCAGAACAGTAGCTTCAACACATTCCCTGAAGACTCCGAAGGCAAGAGTTCAGTGAACTTCTCTCGAAGGATCATGATCTCTCACGGCCAGATAAGTCTGGCCTGGCATCTCTTGGGACTGGACTGACCACTTTGGAAACCCCGGTGCCGCCCCTTGGTCGCAAACTTCTGAAGGGCTTGGCGCAAACGAAGGCAAAGCAGGAATCGTAACGAATGCGATGGCATGAGCACGCCGAGACTCGTGAGCTGGTTCACTGAGTCAATCTGCTGGTTGATGACCGCATGCCTGGGCTGCGATCAAGGCAGACGATCGCGGCCGACGCAGGGTCTGTTGGGGCTGCCGCTCTGGTTTGGATTCCACTGCCGGCACCGCTGGGACCGCAGGTACTGGCACAGCCGGCACCGCTGGCTGTGCTGGCGCTGCGACTGCCGGTGCAGCAACCGGCGCTGCGGCCGGCGCTGCGGCCGGCGCTGGTGCAGAAGCCTCGAGCCTCGGCGCAGGGACACTTCAACTCCGCAGCGTGCTCCAGGCGCCCGGGGCGAACACTGCGATCCCCAGGCTCCATTGCCATAGATCCCTGCCTTCACCTGCAACTGTAACAGCGCTTGTGTTCAACGCAAGCTTCCGGATGGAGAGGTACTTACCACACCGAACGAACTCCAAAATTTTTGCAGCTCCACTCCACGAAAACGAAAGACACGGCCGACAACTGTAGGCACTCCAAATTCGAGTTCCTTCCCAAGAAGACCTTCAGCTCAGCGGGAGCCCTTGGCTCACCGGAACTGCGCCTGCGTGTTCTTGACGGTCGCGTGTGCGGCCTCCACAGGCACAAGTATCAGTATATGATTATGTGATGTCTGGGTTTCAGAGACGGCTGCATCTCCGGCGCCTGGCTCCCTGAGAAGTGAAGGCATCCGACGCCGATGACTGCAAAGACCTGAGGCGGACGCGGGGAGCAAACTACTGGAGCAAAGGCCGGTCGCCCTTGCGTTTGGTCGTGCTCTGCTTTGCAACCCGAAATCGGTTCATGTATAGACCCTACATGTAAAAGCCAGAATCAAACGATTCCACTCAATACCTGCAAGAGTGGTTAGCGCAATCAACCCAAGTTGTACAACCTGCTGTGGCCAAATATTATTCGCACGATCAACGCTGCATTAGCATGCAGTGCAACTCTGACCTCTGCAAGGCGCAGACAGGCTGATTCCGATGCTGTCAGAAACATGCACCCTTCTGAGTGGGCGCCGGGCAGCAACTGCAAGCAAGCCATGCCGTGCTGCACGGCAAACCTGTCGAAGCATAAGGAACATCGACAAGGAGCCTCTTGCTGACGACTGCTTGCGTGATCTTGCGTGGAGCCATGCAACATCAGGAACCTGTTTGTTCGGTTTCTGAATTCGCACCGGCCTGTATTTGCTGATTCTCCCTGTCCGAGTGACTGAAGTCAGCTGACTCAGGGTCCTGCCCCAAGTAAGACTGCCAAGTGACAGCACTTGCGGCTTATAAGATTCGGAAAGATGCACCAACTTCACAGCACTTGCTCCAGGCGTGCACACTGCGACTGACATCGACGGAATGCACCGCTCCTCGCCCACGAGATGCTCCTGCTCGTTCATCGGCTGCAAAGCATACATTGTACGTGACACAGCGCACCTGACAGCCACAGTAGCGAGCGAGGAGCCCGTTATATCGAAACACGCAAGAAACCAACTTACAAGTACTTGGGGGCGATGGACTGGAGCAAACGCTCGGTCGGGCCCTAGGGACGGGCTTGCGGAGGCTTCTGGTGCTTCTTTGAGATCTTTGTGAAACGGTAACCAACCACCGCCTAGACATGCCTAGACCCTTTAAATTTACACCTGGCTACCCTCAACCCCTGAGCCCTGGACACTCCCCAGCTTCCCGCCCGAGAGAAGCCTGAGCACGAAAACGTCCACGGAAAATTTCAAGTTTTACCTCCCGACGCCTTGCTCTCTACACCTGTAGCAAGTACGCCCACAGACCCTCAGACGTGCGTTTTCTTTTTTCTAGGCCTTAAACACCGCCTCGAAAAACAGCCCCGGCCATTCCGAATCCCTCTCCCAGGTGCTGTCTAGCTCAAAACATGCATATTTTGGCCACCGGCGGGGTTCCCTCCACACCCCATGCTGCAACCCCGAGCTCCCCCGCCTTTGCGTCCAGCCAGAAAAAATGCGCAAAGCTCTGCTATGCTCTTGGGCCAGACTGTGGGCACTGCCGCATGCTGCACGCTGCACACATCTCTATTGCATCTGCCGAATGGCGGAAACACGAGTCCCGCTTTTGCAAGCTGTACAGTTGCGTCGTACAAACAGGAGATCTAGCCAGACGCACGGCACACCGCCGAGAAGCACATCAGCAAGACATGTGTGAGTGATCACTTCTGCCGCTCTTTAGCACTACTTTCCCAATGCTAGATTTAGGTACTCTCATTCTAAATTTACGATAAGAACCAGCGACATGAACCCACACTCATGGCTCGCTGCAGAACCTCTCAGCTCAGCAAATCACCTGACATGTTGACAAGATCGAGGACCGGAGCAAGAGAGCCATGGTGCCACTTGGGCTGTCCACTACACAGTGCCGACATATAAAACACACCCAGCGTACAACAAGGGAGAATGAAGGGTCGGGTTCCCTCTAAGTGCCTTCGCTTGTGCCAAGCACCTCCCCGTGGTCCGATCGGAACACCAGCCTAACAATCGCAGGGGAAGGATCTGCTCAGCTAGCCGTCTGGACCACTTCAGAAGCAACTTTGCAACCCTTTCACACCGAGAGGTCATGTGTATGCGCACACCGAGCAGCGTAAGGGTAGCGTCGCCCCAGGCTGCGGCCTGGTTGATACCTTAGCAGAAACAGCCCTCTTCCATTCCTGCGACGCTTCGCAAGATCGGCACCCTCTTGTGGACTCTGGTTCGCCATACCTATGCAACGTCTCGTCCAGGCCAAGCATCTTTGGACGCATGCCCCAGCCACCGTAGTACCTTAGATGGAATAGAAGGATGTCGGGGCTCTGGCTCACGTGCTCGCGGAAATGCAGACATGCCACCATAAAGGTTGAGGCAGCTCTTTGTCTCGGAAACGCGGTCCTGATGCATAGAAACCAAGTGTCCAGAATGAGGGGAGAGATTGCTCCAAAAGCCGGCAGACTATTGGCTATGGTTCCAAGAGTCGTAGAGGATCCCAGGATATGCGGGGACGTGCCACTTTTCGCCGAGAGCTTTTGCGGACCTGGCAAGGTCTGTTCCAGTCAAAGGCCTCTACACCACCTACCACGATCAGCCAAGACACTCGCACGATGGACTCCCCCTCCTTAAGCAGCGGAGAACCTTGGCTTGCGGAACGTGGCAGAAGCTTGGCGACGGAACCAAGAGCTCATCAGGAGCTGCTCAAGCCGAGTCGCTTTCAGAAGGCTTCTTATGCACCGTGTCCAGCTCCTCCGCTTCCTCGTTCTCCTCCACCTCCTCTTCCGAGGAGGGCAATGATGGCAAGGCCGGGAGGCCAGGAAGGCCTTCCTCCAACATCTTCGGCTTCGCCGAAGCTCGGGAGCCTGGAAGCTGTGGCAAAGCCACGCCCTCCAGAGGATCCTCCGTGCGGAAGTAGTGACGCTTCCTTTTGTAGGCTAGAGGGCGAGCATACAATGCATGCCACTTGCCACCACCAGATTCCACAAAGTAGGCAATCGCATCGTTCAGCGCCGGCTCATCCTCCAGCCCGTGTTCCCGACAGTAGTCGTAAAGGGTTACGAGCTGTGCAGTCGTGGGCCGCCGCTCGGATCTGACGTTGGGACGATGAACACCTCGCAGGCACCACTGAGTCAGGGCCCGCAGGTAGTCTGCATGAAGGTGGCCGCGAGCTTGAAGAAAAAAGAGTGCGTGAAAGGGGTCCACCAGCTGGTCGACTTCCTGCAGACAGACGCTGTGTTCAGAATACTTCTGCCGTGTTCTCATCATTTCTCATTGGAGCCGTCAAGTACGCCTGTTCTGCCTGCTCAAGGTGAAGGGGGTCTTTAGAAGAAACAGTAAAGCTTCATTCAGGCGATTCATGTGGCTAAACGTCCACCGCAAAAGCCCCGCAGCATCCAAGCCTATGAAGTACACATCCTTGAACCCTGGTGATTTGCAACCCTGACACGTCAGGTGCGGGCGCAGCGCTCAAGGTTCAAGGGGTTGAACGCTCAGGCTCATTTGGCAGGGTGGCGGGGTGTCTACATTCTACGACTTTTAGAAAAATTCACTCTCAGGGTGGTGTGGGAGCAATGTCGAAGCGAACGGAGTGGGATTCGAGATGGGGCGCTGGGAAAAGAAATCGAAGAGATCGATGGATGTTTTGCCCCCAAGAAATTTTGACTTCATACCATGAGATGCGCAAAGAACTCTGTGAGCTTCTGTCTCTGCGAAAAAACCCTAAACCCCTTAACCCTAAACCCGAAACTCCTAAACCCTAAACTCTAAACCCTAAACCTCAAACCGCATGCGTATCGTAAACCCTAAAAACCCCGGCAACATTAAAAAAAAAAAAAGACGCTTGCCGGGCGCCTCCGCAGTACGGAACTGGGCGACTCGATGGAGAAACTCTGCCAGGCAGAGCTCCTGCAGAGGCGAGGCCCTCGAGGGGTCTCAAAGCTTTTGCATTGTCCTTCATGACTAAAAAGTATCTGTATGTAGAATACACTATACAATATGCTATAGAATATACCATATAGTATACTATATAGTATACCATATAATAAACCATATACTATACAATATGATATACTATATGATATACTATATGATACACTATATGGTCTGCTCTATAATATACGATATGATCCACTTTATAAATGTATAAATATATTGTATAGCGTGCTATCTTATGTCCTTGACGTACTGGTACCCACTTATCACCCACTTGAAGGTAGTTCGAAGATGCTCAGGACTCAGGAAAGCACTCCAAGCAGTGAGAGATTCTCCTGGACACAACCCTTCGCTGGCCTCATAGGGCTGCCAGGAGTACTCCAGCTGTGGGAAAGCCTGCTAGAAGCCAATAGAAGCCACACAGCTCTTCTCCCCCTTTTAAACAAATGAAAACAGGCCGACAATGACCTAAAGTGCATGGGCAGCCTGGACGTTGTCCAAAAGCTCCTGCACGTTGATGGTATCCACCTTCAAGCACTTGAAATGTCGGGTGGGCGATGCGAATTTCAAGCCAATCAACAATTCCCACCGAGAATGCTGAACTACGAGACCGTGCTCTGAACTCTAGTGAAGCACGTTCAGGTTCTCGACACATTCCGTCCCTGTGCAAGCCCGGCAAGCCACACAGGCCTCGAAGCGCGCACGCGAATCGAGCACCGTCAGTAGCCTCTCCGGGCCTGCAGCAAGTGCCCCCTTGAGTGCCATGTACTACAGTGCAGTAACTGCAGTAGTACCACTGTGGTACCTACCAGGACCTACCATAGCACCAGCATTGAGTCCCTCCCTCGAGGCCCGCAAATCCCCAGAGTGAACAAAACAGGTCCCCGGCAGGCTTGCATGGTCCCAAGTGCGCCAGCAGTGGCACAAAGGTACCGGAGCCTCCAAATGAAGAGAATCCGTCACGCCTTTTCACAAGCAAAAATCCTCTTGCGTAGCAAGTGGTGCTGGCCTGAACTCCTTGATTTCGCTCTGCACCGCACGGATGAGCTGAGCAACGACCTCCAACTCCCATCACGGTTGGCGGATGCGGGCGGAGGGAACTCAAGCCGCTTCGCAGCCAGAAAGCTGGGGCAGTGGCTGTTGGGTTCCCCAGGCCGTAGCGAGCCAAGGCTTGGAGAGTCAGAGTGAGCTCCTCTGCATACATGGACCTCCCAAGAAGCGGGCCCAGGGCCCTTTTCCGAAAAGCTTTCTGCACTTAAGCCGAGGTGAAGACCGAGCAAGCCGCACGATGGCATGCAGCAACTCCACGTAAAGCCCTGCCGGACGAAGGTCAGCGGCCTTGCAGGAAACCAGACCGAAAGCACAGTCTTCGGGCAGGCGGGTGGCTATATTTTCCTCAGGCACACGCTGAACAACGCTCCATGACTTGTGGCTTGAGGACTTTTTTCATTGGCAAAGTCAGGGGATCTCCCGGGAATTATTTTTATGAGTATCTTTCGGTTTGGTTATGATTTAGGTGTCTTCGCCGTTTACGACTTTGATACGGTTCTGGTTACGATTTCAATACGGCTACGTGGGAATGCACGGCTCGGAAAGCAGCTCGGCTGCAAGTCCGAAAACCATATCAAAATCCTAGTAAACACATCAAAACCAGTCCTGCGGGAGGCTGGAGACGTATCGAAATCGTATCAAAATCGTAATGAAATCGTATCGAAATCGTATCAAACCGTATCAAAAACGTATCCGAACCGTATCCAAACCGTATCCAAACCACATAAGAAAATCATAAGAAAATTGTACCCGGAAGGATTCCTGAAATCATATCAAAACCGTATCGGAATCATAGAAACGGGAGTTTCCCGATACTCTGAAAGTCCCAATTGTAGCTTTGGTGACAGTCCAGGTCAGCTACAGCATTTTTTGTGTTTCAATCTCTAGGACTCTAGGACTCTAGGATGCAAGGATGCAAGGCCCCCCTCCGCACCTTCTGCAGCGTTGGCACGCTTCTGAGTCACTGCATGTTGTCCCTTCCGCGCAGCAACCGCCTTCCGCACCCTGCCGCGTCCTTCTGCGCGCCCAGTGTGCGAATTAAGGAGATTTCCAGCTCGAACAAACGTCTTGCGTCCAGCTATCGTCTTCCGGAGTATTCCGTCAAGAAACTGACCCCAAAAAAAACACGCTGCAGGCGACCGGAGCCACAAGAGGCAGCCTCGTACACGGCGAGCACATCGAGGATATGCTTCGGAGCCATCTTCGAGGTTTTGTCCTCTGACATGGTCGGCTCTATCATCTAGTATATCATATAGTATGTCATATAGTATATCATATTGTATATTATATGGTTTATTATATGGTATATTATACAGTATATTATATGGTACATTCTGAAAAGGCCTGTACCTCGACTGCACCCACTGAGCCCCTGACCGTCAAAACATCAGCCAGGTGCATGAAGAGATCAGGGTTCGTTACCTGAGAACTGCTCCCAAGCAGATGCAAGCAGATGAAGTATATCTCTCAACGTCTGCACCCCTACTGTCACACATCTCTCAACATCATGGGATGCGCATCTCCAAGCTCCAAAGCCATTCCGCTTCGCTTGATCTGGGTCCTGAGCCCCTGCGGCCGTGAAGGCTTGCAGAATGTGCACCTTGTCTGCAGACATCGCGGTTGGATTCGATTGGATACATCACTCCAGGCACGAAGAAAACCTTCACTGGGCTCGGGACTGCATCCCAGTAGTTTACTCGAGAACCCACCTCCTTGCGAGGACAGTGGGTCTCGCAAGCAATCGATAGGAGCTTGTGGCCGCTTAGCGAGACAATCGACCCCCGTTTCGAATGTCTGGATATCGGAGGGCTTCAAGCCAGAAACCTCGTTCTCACAGGTTCTGTGTTCGGCAACACTTACACGATCCTCAGTCTTTCGGCCAGCTTGTCCTCAGGCTGCTTCCCGCTGAGAGAAAGAATCAACCGTAAGCAGCTAGATGTGCAGAATGCCAGCAGCCGGACTCTACCCTATGACCCCAACGGTTGTCGAACTTTGCCTGGCAACGCAGGGCGAGAGCCGCCCAGATGGCGGGCGAGGCGCCGGCGGAGACCGCAGCCTGCGGCCGACTAGTGCTTACAAGATGTGATGCTCGCTCTGTCTGGATCCATCGACAGAGCGCAGTGAAACAGAAGCCAGAGGAGGGCGACAGTGGGCTGGAAACAAGGACTGTTGAGACGGCAACGAAAAGAGCAGGATCTCTCTCTCTCTCTCTCTCACTTTTCAGGTCGAGCGTCACGGACGATTCCCATAAACCCCACTTGAAGGCAGCGCAGACAGCAGCCTCTTGCTTGAGGTGTGTATGTCACTTCGTGCGACGAGCTGCGTCAAAGACAACAAATACTGGCGACGACCAGGACCAAGTGCAGCACAACACGAAACAACACACACTGAAGAAACCCAAGAAGCCGGTCGCGCAGACCTTGGGTATTCGCCTCGGCCCCGGCCGAAGCGGTCAGAGGCTCACTCAGGGGTTCCCTGTTTCCCCACCTCTTAATCCCCTCCCCCCCCTAAAACTGGGATTAGGGTTGGCAAGAACTACGTCCAGAGATTCTGCTGGCGGAGACTGGGCTTGCCGGGAGCACCCACGCAATTTGGACATGTTTCTGCTTTTTCGGTCCCCCACCCGCCCCTACCCCGCCCGCCTCCCCCCCTCCCCTTCCCACTCTCTTTTCCACTTCCCTCGTATCTTGCTTGGCGCGGGCGAAGCAAAACAGGCTAGCTCTCATCATTCGTGAAGTTGATGCCAAAGCCTGCGAATTCTGCGGCTGTGTCTTGTGCTTTCTTGCAAAGTTTGATTCCCCATTCCCCTTCCAACATACAGGAGGTGGTAGCGTCTAAGTGTAATGCGATTGTTATAGTAACGTCTATAGGATAATGCAGGGAATGTGCCACCTTTCGCGCGGGAATATTGCTCAGAACCTCAGCATGAAAACAAGTACTGACATTAACAACACATTCTGAAGCAAATGCACTCCTTCACGCAAGACCTCACCTGTGTGACCTACCTGTTGCTTTCCGAAACAATGCACCTGATTCAAGTACAGCCGGGCCGAGGCGGACGACGCAAAATGCTTCAAATAATAGGGTTGGCGAGCGATAATCAATACAAAGTCACAAGAGCTCGAGCCAAAGATAACGGATACGCAGGCATGCTTGCATGCATGGATGTACGTTTGCTGTTTGCTTCTACGCATGTACGCATGTACAAATGAAAATACGTACGTACGTATCTGAACATGTACATACAGAGAGGAGAAAAGGAGAGGAGAGAGAAAGAGAGAAAGAGAGAGAGAGAGAGATCCGTTCATTACATTACAAACCTGCATCCTAGACCGATAACCACCTCGGCGAGCCGGCGGAGCTCTGCCGAATTCATCTCCGGCACCTCGGCTGTGCTCGGGACTACTACATTGGCGTTTGTGGCGGTCTCAGAGGGTGGTACGAGGCAAGTGAGGCATCCGGCAGGAAGCCCTCTTAGGCAGGATTCCCGAATTGGGCTCACTGCAGCAAGATCGCCCAGAATTGCCTTATTACCTTTAGGATGCCCTCCTGGGCAGCTGGCCCGAGCGACATCGGCCGCACCCAAATTCCGCAGTGAACGGCTCTGGTCAGCTCCATCTTCCAGGGGCAATCTGGACTAGTTCCCTGAGAGACCTCTTGACTGCCAGGCCTGAGATGAGACTTGACAAGTTTGAAGCACCCGAAGACATCCACTTATGTTCACACCCAGGTACTCAGGCCCGATAGCACTGCTTTGGATCCCCATGTCGCTGACTCAAGTGGCGCTCTTGGGCTTTCGAAAAAGGGCTCACGAAGGAACATCACCCCTTCATGCCTGGCTCATATCCAGGGAGAGGTAGCCCAACCTGATGCGGACTCTGTGCAGTACAACTATGATTATCTGACGACCAGATCTGGCGATAGCAGACCGACTCAAGACAAGCTGTGATATCCAGAATTGCATCACAGGGTCCAGTACGGCAATCTCAAAGACATCTTGGACATGGTCTAGCCAAGGGTATAGCAAAAGAACTGAGAGCTCAAATTCTGCGTCTGCTGACAAACGTACAGTTGCTCATGACAAGAGGCTGTCTGGCTGGGCGCGGCTGCAACTTCAGATGCTACCTGGCAGACGACTCCGAACTCGCTAATTTCAGCCAGTAGCTGCTGTGATGAGATCAACAGAGATTGCCTAAAGGAGGCTGGGGTGCTTTTCGTGGAATTTGGGAGTTTCCAAAAATTAGGGTACCTCATTTTGGGGTCCTTATAATAAGGATCCTACTATTTAGGGGACTATATTAGGGTCCCCTATTTTCGGAAACCCCCAATTTAACGGCAGGCAAACAACCTGAGCTGTCCTGTGCTCTTGGCAGTAAGCAGGAAGGGCCCGACACATCGCAAAGGCACTGGACATCGCTGGAGTGCACGACACCTGGGCCAAAGCACTGCTCACAGAAGACTCAAACTCCCATCTCAGGGTTGACCCTATTCCACCAAGTTATCCGCATTTCTGCCCGCCGTCTGCACCATCACAGCAAAGCCAAGCAAAAAGGCGCAGAAACACCGGGCTCAGCTTCAAGATCTCCGGGAGCCCCGCAGCGGCCGAAGCTGCCGGAGACGTGGAATCATTGAAAAACCATGCTCAACATTGAAGCCATGACTCGTAAAAAAAATCAAGTCTACTTGGATAGGTGGTCCGGTTCTCTACCCCCACCTACAGTCTAGAGAGTGAGATGAAGAAGAGAGTGAGCATGCTGCCTTTTCTCGCCAGTGGTTTTGAGCAGGTATTTAGACTTGGCTAGGTCGGCTAGGTTCCAAGCTGGCAACGAGGCCACTCTTAGACGGTGTGTTACAAGAAAGCAACACTGGACCAGGATGCCCTGGAGATGGCTGCAGCACGCATTCCGCATCCCACTCCGGACAGCAAAAGACGCCCAACATCGGCCAACACCTCCGTCCTTTTGCAGTCTCACATAGTCTCACTCAGGCAAAGCCCTGTTCAAACGTCCGCACGAAACACCTCAGCAGGAAAAAATAATGAATCTGGGAACCCTCAAGCTGGTGCAGTGCATGAATCGGTCTGTCATGCAACTGGCTATTGGGGGGGGAGGTCGCGGAGGAGCAGTGAAGTAACAAACAAGACGGTGTCTGCCACCACTCGCAGCATGCAGTTCTAGTCGTCTGCGTCTTAATGATGCTGACCTGCAAGGTTCCGGGCTTGGACAGTGTGCGCTATCCACCAGACCGTGGAGGCTGCCTGGAGCACCGTGACAACCAAAACTTCCGGTGCGACCTGAACTTGCTGCCACAACTGCGACCCTGATAATTGCATCACTTGGTTCAGACTTGTCCGTCTCCAAGCTTGAGCCCGTATACCAAGTGTCCGTCTACAGCAAGACTAAACATACCGCGAGAAAATACTACTGACAGCGACTTGTTGCCAAAGGGCTGCCTGGGCAGCTGCGCTGGCTTCAGCATCAGCCACCAAGCCTCAGCAAACGAATCCACCCCGCAAAGGTCCTGTCGATGGCTCGGAAGCATATAACCCCTTCGAATCCAAACTCCGACTGGAAGTGTTGCTCAGGTTGGCACTGAACTGAGACAGGAGGGATCTCACTTCCTGCACAAAGCGTGCACAATCAATGCAAGGTTTTTGGTGTTACGGGTCATCCGAATTTACAGAAGTTTGCTGTGTTCCTGGCTCAATCCCACAAACCGAGAACTTCAATCCCACTTCCGCCACCACAGAAAGATCCCAAAGCAGAGCCGCGGCACCTCGGGACTGCGGCAGCTCACGTGGCCTTCCCCGCCAACGTCGCACCAAGACCAGCTCAACACCAAGCCCTGCAGGCCAAGGAGCGCGAAAGGCTCAGGACAGGCCACAAGGGTTCCTTAGGATTCTGTTCCTGTAAGTCTCCCTTTAGGGGCTCCTTAGGGCTTTGGGAGTTCTTCAAGGACCTTTTAAGGGCTCCCGTATGGGTTCCTTTATGGGTTCCTCCGCGTTTAGGAACCGGGGCGTGGGGTGGAGGCTCGCAGATAAGATCCTTTCGTCACCAGATACTCAAAGATCGGGGGGTCAAGCACGGAGCCGCAGATTCGATGCCCCCACACAGGCACAAAAACGCAAGCTGAGAGCAGTTGGTCGCCCTTAAACCCTAAACCCTAAACCCCTAAAACCGTAAACCCAACCCCTAAACCCTACACCCCCAAGTTCGGTCTTGTGGGGCTTCGACCTGCGATTGTCGTGGGAAAAACTAGGAGTCAGGAGGCTGAGGCAGGACATGGCAGGACTGCATATCTGCATTCCTGGGGTTCACCACCAGTACTGGCGATGGCCTCAAGAGATGGGGGGCCAGCAAGGGCGGCCGTCAAGTTGAATTACGAAAAGCATAGCAAGTCGTAGTCCGATAAGCCGGCTACGCTTGTTAAACTCGGTTGCTTGAGTCCCGTGAAACATAAGGTCCACAAGACCTCGGACCTGTCAGAGGGGAATGCCCCTGCTGAAGGCCTACATCTGTAGTTTCAAGTACCTGAGCACAATCTTCAAGAATAGAAACCTTTGCCGGTGCAACGAAAACTGGTTCGATTTTGCGTTCCGATTACTGCTGAGGTACATGATCAGACTTCCCAACATAGGCATGTCCGTCGTATTCCTCATCACTGTGGATTTCCATGGAAGAGCCCTCCAAGAACTCACGTGGATTTGGCCTTGGCCTTGGGGCTCCATAGGGTATCGTCGACCACATTGAGCTGCTTCCAGGGAGACCGACCGGCAGATCCCTCTCCTCCTCGGCGATCGGCGGAAGAGGCCGGATGGCCGGAAGACTCGCGGCCCTGCCCTCGTTCGGATCACTGAGAAAGAGGATGATGTCGGGGGTCTCTCGAAAGCATACCCTGTACTCCCGAAATACTGCCGGTGAAGGCGCTGTAGGGGATGTGCTACGCATGCTGCTCGACGGGCTTGTGGACGCAAGAACAGATGGACTCGATTTGGAGCGCTTTCTGCCCTGCTCCTGTGGCAAGGCTGCCACCACGTGCCTGCGAGCCGGCCTGTTACGCGGAGGTGGGGTCAGAGGCTTCTGTGGCACGAAAAACTCCATGAAAGCTGGGAAGTTGGGAAATTGCACAAGACCTGTATGTGGCAGAAGGCGCAAAGCGTATCTGCTGCGTCTCGAGCTCCTGCACAATTTTCGCAAGTCTCCGACTTCAAGCCGGCTAGCAATCGCCAGCTAGCGCCAGCGGCCAAGAGACGCTCCATGCATGTGTCATGTGTCAGCGTGTTTACGGCCCTTGCAAACCACGAGATGGCTTTCTGGTGCTCCGATGCCTGGCTTAGATGCCGGCGCAGGTTGCTAAGGAAGACAGGCAGTTTGGCCTGCCAGCGCTTCCGAGGCCAATTCAGCCGTGCTCTCTTGCATCCCCGCCTCCGGGATGTGCTCGGCAACCTCTAGACACAGGACCCAGTCGAAGCTCCGCGGTAGGTGGAAAGGTTGCGTGAGGTCCTGTGAGCAAGAGCTCCGCAATCAGAAGGGGGGTTCTTGGCACTCCTACGAAGTCTCCTTCTCTGCCACTCGTCCTTCCGTCAGCTCCAAGACACGAGGTGCCTCAGAAGTGTGTTGGGGCAGCTCATGACGACTCTGTCATGATTTACCTGAGGCCCCCGGCGCCGTCAAAGGCCCAGGCCCCCTTCGTCGCCCCAGAGCGGTTGAGCCACTCGGAGCTGGCACCGTTGAGCGCCCCGAACCTCAAAGCGGGTTCAGCACGGCTCTAGGAACACGGAGCTGTCGCAGCGCCACGCATGCTGCCAGGCAGGCACCTCAATCGCTTAGGCCAGAACTCGGCGATAGACTTGTTGCGGAAAATGCCATCTGCGAGCCACCTTGAAAAAGGAAAGGCAGCTGCTGGCATCCGGGGCTTTGCCCTGCAGGACGCTCCTGCCTCATCAAGCCGGCATCCACCGTCCGAATATTTGCGAGCTCGTACAAGGCCACCATCGACCTTGCATCGCTGCATTTCCGAATCTAGTTATGGCATGACGTGGACACGTCAAAGCCAGGCATCCCAGCGCTGGATACCGGCCGGTGGGTTCCCGAGTGTCTACCAGCCAAAGACCTGTGAGTGCCTGGCTTCAGCTGCATGGCTCGTGCTCCACAAAGTGCACGGTTTAAGGTTTAGGGTTTAGGGTTTAGGGTTCATGATGGCAAGCCGGAGATGCTTGGTGGAGCGCTTGCCCGAAGAGGTCGAACAGCCGCTCACCAAATCGAAACCTCGACAACTCGGGACAACTGGAAGCCCATCCAGGCCAGGAGTTTGCATCTCCGGGAACTCCTACAGTAGCGGCTAGCAGGTAACCTCGTGAGTCGGGCGGGAAGCGAGACTCGAATGCATGGAGCAGAGAGCACAGACTTCGCAGATATCGCCGGGTTTTTCGCAAAAGGGGCAGCTGCTTGCTCCTGGATGTGTGGGTCGGACTTGGGCCCTTGCTGCTGCAATCGCGCATCGTTTGTGTTGGTTTCGGACCGTTCACACGGACTTCGCACAGAGGGACAAACTTGAAAATGACATGGTTCAGTGGTACTAGCTATATGTGGCAATGGCAGCAGTAGAGCAGCAGTAGCGCAGCAGCAGCAGCAGCAGCAGCAGCAGCAGTAGGGAGGGCGGGGCCAGGGGTCGGGTTAGGGTTCCTGGTCAAAAAGGACGAGAACAGAGAACTCCGCCCTACTCTGCAAGGGCTCTGGAAGACAGCCACGTGGGGCCTTCCAGCAACAAGTGTCAAACCCTAAACCCTAAACCCTAAACCCTAAACCCTCAACCGTAACACTGGCAATGTTATGTTCAATCAATAAAATCAACAACAGGGAACTGAGACCCGCTCGGCAAGGATCATTGGAGACAGCCATTTGGGGGCCCCGCGCATAGAGAACCTGCTGTCTATCCTGCTCCACTGGAGACATCTGGCCGGCGAGAGAGAGTACTGGAAACGTCGAAAAAATCTGACCCAGAAAATCCTAGAAAGCTGCAATCCTCCTCGGTCACATCCTGTAACTATCCAGAATGACCCCACGATTAAAATTGAAGAATGCTCCTGCCTGCATGCAACCTCCGATAACCTTCGGACGCCTCCATCCAAGACCTGTCGAGCTCTTCATTCCATGCATCTCCTTCGTCTGCACAGGTTTGGTGAAGACAGGGTGCATCAAAGGCACCACTAGGCCAGACAAGCAGAAGACAACAACCTTGACACAAACTTGTGCTTCGGAACTCAACCGCGGTCAGCATGCATGGTCCCAGGAGTCACAAGCCCTACATCAAGTTCACATGGAACCGTCAACATGAGTCAACATGGGTGGTAGTTGTCAAAATTCTGGTTTTTTTGGGGGTCCCCTAAATAATAAGTACCGTATTATACTAAGGACCCAAAAAAGGACCATAATTTTGACAACCACCCACATGTTTCACTGTCACTGGGCCGTCCTTGCAGGTATCGGCCTTCAACGGTGTGCGGGGCCAGAGCAAAGCTGCCTCCAAGCACTGGAAGTTCAAAGCCGAGTCTAAAGGCGATTGTGCCTTGAAGGAAGGGTAATGCACGTGGCCTTGGAAGGTACCGAGCCACAGAAGGGTGTTCATCTTGTCCTGCGGCTCACGGTACTTGGACACAATCTGATCATCGATTTCATCTCAAAGTCTGACAAGTCCTGGGCGCGGCGGAAGGTCAGCATGGCCTGCCAAGTTGGGGCTAAGACGAGTAGGCATTTCTCGAAATCGGTGAGAGAGCGCTCGGCCTCGCCAAGCAGCAAGTCATTGCAGCAGCCCTTCTGCCGCGCGCACAGCGCAGCCTAGAAGACCGAGGAAGCAAGGCTGCAACGGCTGCCTTCGGCTTTTGTTTGGTTCTTTGAGCGGTGTTTGCTTTTTCGGGCTGGGAGACGAAGCACCCAGCATATCCGGACCATGAAGCTTCGCCAACACCCTCTGAAGCCCAGGACCGGGAAGCTCCGCCTGCAGGTTGAAGGCCGTCGCCGCCACTGGGAGCAGTGGGGCCACCAGCTGCCACCAGGACCAGGTGCGAGGGGGCTCCTACCACTCTCTGATGCTATGGTTTGTGCTTCATCGGTCTTTGGTGCCACGCAGAATGACCCACATCTCTCTCACTGGCCTGATCAGATGTCGCCTGAGCACACTTGCACTTCACAAACTATGATGCTTCCTGCAGGTCTTTGGGTGTCATACCACGGCAATCGCATGGCAAACCCGGAAGAGAGTCCAGAAGAGTTTGCGACAACCGGGGTGCAGGGGAACCTTTCAACTGACTAGAGCGAAGTCGAGAAAATGCTGGGCCTCCACGCATCGATGAAACTTTGCCACGCCAACGACTGAAAATCCCGCTCCAGCTCCTGCAGAGTCGCCACGACGGCTTCTGGCGGCGCACTCCGATCACCGACTGTTTGCAGGTGCAGTGCAGTCTTCTGTGATATCGAGTAAGCAGTCTATTTGCCGCTTCGTGCTAGAGGCAATGCTGCTACACATCGAAGTGCGTCCAACTGTATTTGGTGAAAGCTATTTCTGGGTTCGGTGCACATCGAACACCGGCGCCTCAACACGAATGAGCGCATCCTCGAAGTTGCGCTTGAGAGACGCCTGGAAGAGCGTTCCCCAAGCGGTAGTAGAATTAGAAGGCAATCACGGATTGGCTAGACCGACTCGCAAGGACCAGGATGTCGTGAACGTGAGTGGTACCAGTATGCCGGCTCCAAGCAGGCCTTTACCTCATAGCAGCTGAGATTCGCCTGCTGCCAGGAAAGTCGAATGACCTGCTCCAAACCGGCACTGGGCCGGGCTGTCCAGCTTGCAGAACAGAACTGTCTTCGGCACCTGTGCAACCAAACCTGCAAACATGCTCCATGGCGCTCCCCACAGGCAAGTAAGAGGCAAACAGTCCAATCAGGTGAGCTTGCTTCGGGTTGCAAGTTGAGATCTGATCTGGCTGCTCGCTGCAACTATATGACGTCACAACCGCTGTGCACAATACGACCATGACATGTAACTACAAAGGGCCCCGCAGCTGCAGCGAAAGCTGCCGCCGCAGCAGCAGTAGTAGCAATACCGAAGTAAAGCGGGTGCGACTGATGTGCAGGCACATGATCATCATGCCACCAGCCGTCTCAGTGCACAGACAGAGACAGAGGGTTTTTTCATGCGAGGCACTGGAGCATGCCGGGCTTCACAGCGAAGTCAAGGGATTCAACCTTCCCTCGGGAAAGCATGAAAGTGTTATGTCGAATTAGACTCTACTATGTTTTTAGTATTTTAGTGTCATCCCCGACGTGGGAATGGACGCTCCAGCCCCTCACAACTGGAGCTTCGAATCCCGTTTGCGTGTCAGACGGCTCACGGCCCACGGATGGGGCGAAAAACTCCACTAAGCTGCGGTCATATACTTCGGCCGTGTTCGATTCGGCCAGCCTCCTCAAGTATGTCCGTGGCGCTAGTCCCAACATGCGAGCCTCATGCGCTCCTTGCTTATCCCGAAGACCCCGAAACTGGGAAGTTCTGGCCCTCTCTGCCTGGCTGCCGGCTCCGATCCTCTCTTCGCTTTGGTGTGGTGGCCTTGCCATCGCAAATTGTGGAGTCTCAAAGGCTCTGCGATGTGGTACTCTGCCGGTGTCCGGAAGCGAGGAGCGAAGTGGGCGGGCCAGAGAACTTGAGGGTAAACTTGCTCTGAAAATCGCTTGAAACTGCGACAGGATGCCAGGCGAGATTGTCGGCTGGGCCATGTCCCCTCGGCACCCGCTGCGGTCACGCATAAAGAGCAAGCCATTTCATTTGCTAACTAAGGGTAAAGAAGTCTCAGTAGATCTGACTTATGTCACGTGGAGGCCAGAAGAGAGGCTGTGATCAGCAGAGCGGCTTCAACCTGACCAGATCAATAGAAGACACCACATGGGGGTTTCCGAAAATAAGGGACCCTAATATAGTTACCCTAAATAGTAGGATCCTTATTATAAGGACCCCCAAATAAGGTACCCCTTATTTTCGGAAACTCCCACATCAACACGTCAGCTCTGGTTGAACCCTCGACTCGGACTGCATCAAGATCTGGACAGGCAGTGTAGGCCAGCGTTTTGCAAGCATTAGGCCTTAAAGGGCCTTTCCTGCAGAAATCTGCTCGTGCAAGAGCTCTCAACATCCGACGAGATGAGAGCAAGCGCTCTGTGACCAGATGCCCTGAGTCAGAGGCAGCTGGCCGGGAGGGCGGAAGACTGATGAGTGTTCCGGCTTTAAAAGAAAAGCCGAATGCAGACTGTTGTGGACCACGACAGGCAGCTGCCGGCAGCCACGGCTGCACGAGGAAAACTCGACCTTCTCGGTCTCGCATGTGACTTTTGCAACAGTGTTCCGACTTCGGACAGCTTTTTCCTCGCTTCTGCGCTGATGCTCCTGCTTGATCTTGCGAAATCTCAAGCTTAATCTGCGGTTGGACTGGTGGCAAAAAGCTGTCGGAAGCTTCACTATTTGTGCAGGAAAGTGTTGCAGCCAGGCACCTAAGACAAAGACAGCAGAGTCCCTTCTCGAGCCAACTCTCCGACTGGCTCCCACTGAGATCAGCACGCGCACAGACAGTGAAGGTGAAAACAGCTGTGAACACGGTGGCATCCTGGCCCGAACACATTGAAGGTAGATGCAGCACTATGTATATATATATATATACACTATATATACTATATATGCTATAAATATATATATATATATGTACTATATATACTATATATACTATATATACTATATATACTATATATACTATATATACTATATATACTACATATACTATATATATACTATATATACTCTATATATACTCTATATATATATATATATATTTATATTTATATATATATATATACATGCTGTATATACAGCCTACTAGGGGACCACCAGACTGCAGCAAGCGCTGGCCGGCCAGACCTCAAGGGCCTCGCCTGGAGCCTCGTCCGAGCCTTGGCATCGAAGGCAGACTTAGAGAACTGGTATTTTCTTCTGTGTTTTTTTTCTGTTACTATTGGCATTTTCTTCTGTGTTTATTTCTGTTGCTAGTGATACTATTGGCATTTTCTTCTGTGTTTATTTCTGTTACTACTGTTACTATTGGTATTTTCTGCTGTGTTTATTTCTGTTACTACTGTTACTATTGGCATTTTCTTCTGTGTTTATTTCTATTACTACTGTTACCATTGGTATTTTCTTCTGTGTTTATTTCTGTTACTACTGTTACTATTGGAATTTTCTTCTGTGTTTATTTCTGTTACTACTGTTACTATTACGATTGTTTTTCTTAGGGTTGCTCTTCTTCTCACGGTTAGCATTACTAGATATTACTAGTACTACTGTTATTGTTGCTAATGGTATTGTTATTGATGTGATTGTTGATGTTGTTACTGCTGCTACCATCAACGTTATTAATTTTTTTACTGTTGTTATTATGGTTCGTTGTTGTAGTTGCTGCTGCTGGTGGTGGTGGCGGTGGCGGTGGCGGTGGCCGTGGCCGTGGCGGTGGCGGTGGCGGTGGCGGTGGCGGTGGTGGGGGTGGTCGTGGTCGTGGTCGTGGTCGTGGTCGTGGTCGTGGTGGTGGTGGTGGTGGTGGTGGTGGTGGTGGTGGTGGTGGTGGTCTTACTTTTATTAACGCTGCTATTACTATTATAGCTATTTCTATTACTGCCATTATGATGACTGTATTAATATTATTACTATTATTATTGCTATCATTCTTACTCTTATTCTGACCGTTCCTCTTACTCTTATTCTTTTTGTTATGAGTATGAAGATTCTTCTTCGTACGTTTATCTTGTTCCTATTATTTTTACTGTTCTTCTGGTTCTTAATGTTGTTGCTATTCCAACTTTTACAGTTATTAAGTTATTACCATTATTACTATTATTATCTTTCTGATCTTCTTTCTTCACTCGCCGCAGAGAGAGTCCGCGTTGCGTCAGGAGCAGCAGCTTCGCTGCCGGCGTCTTTCGACACGCTACTTGTAGCCCCCAAGCCTAGATCTGCATTCCATCGCCTCTATGCATCCTCCGCCCCGAAGGGCCCTGTTGTGCGAGGAGCATAGAAGACGTTATTGCAATAGACTGTAAAATGAGCATGAGAGAGAAGCAGTAGTAGATGGGAAGATTTCCTAGAATAGATCATGTGGAATGCAGCTTGAAAAATGTGGCGCACATAAGTGTCGGTAGCCCAGTTCTGTACGGCTACGCATCCAGAATCTGTGCCTCGTCTTTGATGAGGAAGAATACATACGAATTTCGTAGAGATATCACTTCGGAAGCTGGCGTGACCTGCTGTGCCTTGCGATTGTCATCAGTCAGAAACCGGATGCCCGTGCCTTGGACTAAGGCTGCACGATAATGACCACGGGTTATGGTGGGGCCTAAGTGGTACACTATGGCCGAGGTCCTATAGTTGACCCATTCTACCTGGGAGTTTACCTGAGTAAAGTGGGGGAACCGTACCTTATAGGGAGATGGGATGCTTCCTAGGCATTTGCGGCCGTGATCGTCAAATCGTGCGACCTGCAGCAAAAGAAGGGGCGGAGTGCCCTCAGCGGCCGCAAGTACTCTTGTCTGGCCTCGCACAGTTTGTTGATGCCACTGATTGACTAGTGCTTGCAAGGTTGGTGAGCCTGAAAATGCTTCTGCTGATCGGATACTCGCGGTGAGCGGCAGTGGTGTCATCGTGCCGGCATCAACAACCTCAGAGGGAAGCTCCGGTGAGGTGGGGGGAAGGCGGGCTTCCCAGGCACTGCTGAAGGATATGAGCTTCGGGCTCAGGAATTGTAAAAATTCCGCGGCGTCTTGCTGGCCTTCTGAAGGCCAGGTCTGGACTACTTGCTGCCACCTAGGTATAGACCAGAGGTGAGTGAGCGCGCCTGCTCGGGTAAACACCTGTTGCAGTGCGAGCCGGAGCCCAGCATCAGGCGGCGCGGAATCAAAATCAGCCTGGGAGGCAGACCACAAATATGCTGTTAGTACCGAGTTACCATAGCAGTAGTTTGACTGGTTACCTAGCATGAGGTGCAGGCAGGCCTCGGAGAAGCTCATAGCCTCTTGGCTGCGTCCTCTACGGAACGCTCCAGTGGGCCACGGCCAAGTTTGGCTGGTCGGACTGTCCCTCCGATTAGGTGCCATACTGAGTTGAAGCTCAGCCTTTCCAGAGCCAAGTACGTGGTTTGGCTCTCCTGGCACCTGTTGTGGATCTCGAGGGTGAAGGGGACGATGTCGGAGGTCATGTTGGAGGTCAGGCGCCGCAGAGCATGAAACCTCAATATGACCTTTGGAAAGATCAAGTTCTGCTTGATCTGTGCCAAATAGGCTTTGGCTTGGGCAATCGGCATGTGCTCCTGCTCGGACTTCTCGTGTTTCTTCGTTGTCTGGTTCCAGCGAAGATAGAGAAACTTGCCTTCCTCTACCAGTCCAAGCTTCTCGAGCCTCAGGACGTCTTGGGGCTTGTCTTCCAAGGCCTCCACTCTCTCCAGGAGAGTTCCCACCAGACAATACATGAGAGTGGTGCGGAGGGTGGCATTCAGGCTGCCCGGATCGTTCTGCTTCTTGTCGTGCCACGCTTCGGCTGCTTGAAACAGGTTCTGGACTATGGCCCATTGCCCCGTGGAGGCCGTGTCCGCTTCGCCCTCCGGCATCTGGGGCTGCATGGTTGTCTTCAAGAAGACCATGAAGCCCAGGTCCATCTGCAGGTAGGCTATTGTGTCCGCCTGGCGGAGCACAAGCCTCACGAGCTCCTTCATGAGCTCTCGGAGCTCCTTCTCCTTCTTGTTGTCGTGCTCGCTGTCCTGCATCCACCAAGGGTGGTCGCCGTACCGGGAAGTATGACCCCAGTCCCGTCTGAAGTAGGGCTTGGGATTGCTTGGCTGACTTGCCTGGCCTCGCTGAGGACTTCGACGAGGGCGGTCCGTTGCCGGAGGTTCCGGGGCTTGCTCCTTGCTGCCCTCTCCTTTGCCCGTTGCCTTTTGCCATTTGGAGGGTGGCTCCTCCTTTTCGAGTTCCTGCGCGTCCGTCTCCGCTCTCTTGTCCCTCGCCGAGGTGTCCATGTCCGTGGTCGCCGGCTCTTCGGCTTGCGACGCTGCCGTCGACTGAAGGGGAGATTCCGGAACTGTCGGGGCTCCGCTCCCGCTCCCGAAGAGAGGGGGAGTTGGCTTGAGGTGTCCCGCAAACTGGGAGAGCTCCTGTGCCGCGCGAAGTAGCTCCTGCTCGTCCGCCATCTTGGAGAGCTTGCTGACCTGGATCACTGAGTGAAGAAAAGTGGCTTAGGAGGAGACCACACGTCCAAAGAACAGGACAAGCACGCTGATGTGCCTTCGGAGTCTGCTGAAAGGGCTGCGAACACCAATTGCAGGGCCTGCTGATCACCCGCCTTTCTTGGGCCCACTGACGGATGCCGGCATCCGAAGGAACTATGTCAGCATGTTGTCGACATGCATGGCGTGCAATGTACATGC